ATTCCTCCCATAAGCCGCTGTCCCTTTTCCTCCTTTCCCTCCCCTCCCCCTTCTGATACCCTCTCACCCCCCTGCCCCCCTGCCCCACACAGCTCTGCACCTGCGTCTCCTACACCGAATCTGCTCCACCTACCTCTCCCACCCCCACGGCGCCAGCGCACTGCTCACCCCCACAGCAGCACGGCAGAGGCTGCTGACGTGGTGCGTGCTGAAAAGTATGTGGGCAAGTTATTATGGGTCAGCTGGTCAGCAACAGGCAAAGCTAGGCGGGCTGCTGGGTAAAACATGGCGGCGTTTTTGCATGGACGAGCGGTGGGAGCAGGAGATGGTTGTTTTGAGGGGTGTTTCCGAGTGAGGGTAGTGGGCTGCTTAATAGGTACTTGTGAGTCCCTAGCTGGCAATGGGTGAGTCAAGGCTGGGCTCCAAGGTCCCTCCCACCCAGGTCACTCTCAGGTCGCTCTAGTTAATCCCAGATGATTCAGCTGTCCTTCATGTTTTTCTGGTCTTGAAGGCGGCTGATTTTGTTCGGCCGCCCAGCTGAATGCCGCCCAGCTGAATGCCGCCCAGCTGAATGCCGCCCAGCTTAATGCTTTGCAGTGGCGTTTTCAAGGTGCTTGATTCTATGTGCATGGTGCGTGCCCTATGAATGCAATGCCGTGTGGAACTAACAGGTGCAGTCTAGAACATCGCTCCTTGCACTCCCCCCCTCTCCCCCTCAACCCCTTCCAATTGCTCGCCACTTCTCTCTCATCCACCTCACTTGCATGCCCCTCCTGGGCTGTTTCCCCGTCACCTCCCAATGGCACCCCCTCGCCCAATCACTCGTCGTGTTTCCAAACAAAGCTACTTATACATTGCCACTTCCCCCATGCCCTTCCCCTTGCACCGGCATTTCCCTCTGGCCCCTCCTGGCTGTCTCACCAGCTCCTCCTGCTGCCCCCTTCCATCCAATCACCCTCAAGGTGTGCATAGAGCAACTTTCACTCTCCATCATTGTCCCGCCGTCCCCTTCCCCATCCCCATACCCATCCCCATCCCTATCCCCATCCGGACCATCCCCATCCTCATCCCCATCCCATCCCAGCATCACAAGTAGCAGCAGCAGCAGCACCACCGCCGCCGCCGCGGGTGCCAGTGTGACCGCTAACACCCACCACCCACCACACCAATTAACAGAGACAGCAGCAAGATGGGTCCAACATCTGCTTGTCCTTGGCTGGTCAAAGCTTTAACCTCACCTTTCCGTAACAAGCCTCGGGCTCATCGAAACCAGCCGGTGAGCCACATTGCATTGACCAGTGGCTATGCACTCACTCTGCTTCAGGCTGCGGTGCCACTGCTGCACCCTCATTCTGCTCTCCCTCCTCCCCTCCTACCTCCCCTATTACTCTCCCATCCTCTCCTATGCTACTTCCATCCTCTCCTACTCTCTCCTGCAATCCAAATCATTGATGAAGGGCCCTGATTGGCCTTCAATGGGGATGTAGCTCAGATGGTAGAGCGCTCGCTTAGCATGCGAGAGGTACGGGGATCGATACACCGCATCTCCAGATTTGCGGGGATAGCTCAGTTGGGAGAGCGTCAGACTGAAGATCTGAAGGTTGCGTGTTCGATCCGCGCTCACCGCACGTTTGACTTTGAACCACAGCCCATTGGGGCCTGCTGTGTTTGCTTCATGCGCAGACTCTTGTGCCTGAATTAGCCAGCTTCACTCACATACCATTGTGGCCCTTTTGCTAGCTGCACTCGCATCCCCTTGTGCCTATTTTTGCTCGCTTCACTGCCTCTTCTGCTCGCGTCACAGTGTCTTTTGCTCGCGTCACAGTGTCTTTTGCTCGCGTCACAGTGTCTTTTGCTCGCGTCACAGTGTCTTTTGCTCGCGTCACAGTGTCTTTTGCTCGCGTCACAGTGTCTTTTGCTCGCGTCACAGTGTCTTCTGCTCGCGTCACAGTGTCTTTTGCTCGCGTCATAGTGTCTTTTGCTCGCGTCACAGTGTCTTTTGCTCAAGTCACAGTGTCTTTTGCTCGCGTCACAGTGTCTTTTGCTCGCATCACAGTGTCTTTTGCTCGCGTCACAGTGTCTTTTGCTCGCGTCACAGTGTCTTTTGCTCGAGTCACAGTGTCTTTTGCTCGCGTCACAGTGTCTTTTGCCCGCTTCAGTGCCTCATTTCACTCGCTTCACTCACGTACCCTTTGTGCCTATGCCTGCTTGCTTCATCCATGCTGTCCAACAGGAATGCCTCCCTTCATGGGAGCAGCTCACAGCAGTGGAGGTTGCTGCTGCTTAAGCTGTCATAGCCTCGGTGCTGCTATGGCTGGTGTGGCTTCTAGACAGGCGTAAACCAGCAGGGTTGAACAAGCAGGGGTAGACAATCAGGGCTATAGATTCAGGCTAGGCAATGAGGCTGAAGAAGTATGGCTAAAGCAGCAGGGCTAGACAAGGCAGGGGCTGAACAGGCAGGATGGATGCCACTGCTGCATTGGGCAGACGAGTCGCTGCATCGTGGAAGCAGGTGGAATTCATGTGGGCGCCTTCTCAGCTGACGGCCTCTGCTGACGGTTTCCCCCAATGGATAGCAGCAGTTGGGCTTGGAGCAGCAGGGGCTTCCAAGGGGCCAACTTGGAGGTGAGTGGAGTCGAGTGGAATGGAAGGCACCGTCGCCACATTGGGAAATGAATCGTGATTGCCATTCTCTATCCCCCCTTCTTCGCTGTCTCCTATCCAGTCCCAGAGCAGCATTTCTGGTGCCAGTGTGCTGCCAAAACATATTGAATCTGAGCGCTCCTTTCTTGTATGCAGTACCATTAGCTGTCACCCCTCACCGCCCTCTCTCCCTCCCCCTCCCCCTCTCCCTCCTCCCCCTCCTCCCCCTTGCCCCCACCTCCTTCCTGACTTGAATTACACCGCTCCCTTTTGCGCTCTCCCATAGGCTCCCTTACCCTTTTACACCAGCAGCACCTTCCATGAACTAGTCATGGGATGCCAACTTATCGCTGCCACTCACGGGGAGCCTGGCAGCATGGCGGAGCCACGGAAACATTTTGTGTGAGAAGTGGGATCACATCACGCAGGCGACGAGGAAGGCATGGGGGCAGATTCGCCATGCAGCAGGCATGATGTGACCTTGTGTAACTAAGAGATTGCTGTACGCTGCTCATTGCATGCTGAACACGTGGGGCTTTTGGGCTACACATGAAAAAAAAAAAAGTTGAGAGCACACATGAACAAAAAGGGGCGTCCATCATTAGATGCCATGACCGTGGGTGGTTTCTGAGCTGATGGCCGACTGTACGACGTGAATCATCAGGAAGCATCATGAAGGGACGTGTTGCGACGCACTGCAGTTTCACGTGCCTCCACCACCATTATAATATACCCATTGATGTTTTTCACTGAATCATTGTCACATCAACCTCAACTTCCCTCCTCCCCGTCCCAACCCCCCCTCTGTCTCCACCGCTTCACCACTATTCCTGCCACCGCACGTGTTTTCCTCCCATGCAAATGTTTCTCAACTCGATCTCCCTACATCCATACCCTCCTCTCCCAACACCCCCCTCCCTTGGTATTTGTTGAAGCGGTGGCCATGGCGTGACCATGGTGGGTGGGAAGAGAACGTTAAGTGGCACAAGGAGCTGCCCACACCGTGGGTGGGTGTATCAAATCATGACGTGTGCTGCATGACCCCCCCCCTCCCCTCCCCCCCACAACCTGCCCCTCCTTGTCTCCCCCCAAAACATTCCTTTCAGTCTCCCTCTTCCCATCCATCTTCTTTGGGGTCCTTCCCATTCACCATCCATTTCTTCCACCCTCACTTCCTGTCATTTACCTCTGCTACCTCTTCTCTCACTTTCCTGTCACGTGTATCCTTATCGTAGCCAACATGCACTCCACGCCGTTCAGGTCATTCAACGCCATCACTCATCCTCCCTGTCCCCCTTACCTTCCTTCCTGGTGCCAACTGTTTAATCATACAATCGCAGCATGATCTGCTCCCATTGTGTCATCCATCTTCCCGTCATCCAAATTCTTGGGCTCACTTGATGCACAAAACCAACATCATGAACTGCTCCTCATCCTCTTCCCGTCATTCCTCTCCCATCTGCTCCCACCAAATGCCCCGAAAGCAGCAGCACCAGAGCCATCGCACCCTCAGGCATGCAACTTTCCCTCCTTCCTGCATCAACTACACCAACCTTTCCTTTAAGATTGTGTAGTTTTGTGAACGTTTTATCAAAATCAAGTTGTATCAAGACTAGGGAAGTCTCTCCTTTGGGTCTAGACCCTAGATTACGTTCCTCCCCGCTAACTGTGACAAGGGGCTTGTAACAAATCGTGGTGTACAATTACGTGTTGTCAACACGGCTGTATCAAAATATTGAACATATGGTAGCGGGATGTGTGTTAAATCACATACGATCTGAATTGGCTCTCAGTAATCCAACTAAAAGTGCTCAAGTTTCTTCATACCACAAGTGCATGAGCACAATCATGCTTGAATACAAGAATGAACATATTCCAACTAAGCCTTAGATACCAAGTATGAGAATACGCCAAGCTTTTACGGTAGTTGCGTATCCATCTTCCCACACCAGACACTCTACATGAGGCAATTTCCATGTTTCTCAGTGTGCCAATCACCATCGCCCACGAACCATTGCTCAATGAGCACCAAAGGGAATTAACTTATTGTAATATTCCAAGCAGGTATGTATGTATGCATGTACCCTGTTCTTTGAAGCGACTTCATGTTCGTCACAAGCCAAATTGCAGCTCCGTCACTCCTACCACCACGGAGAAGGTACGGAAGAGGGAGAGGAAAAGAGTTGTTGCAACTTGTATGGGTGAGATGGAGGAAATCTTTTGTCGGTGAGGGGCATGTTGAGCAGCAACTCTGCCACTCTCCCACCACGCCTAGCCCAGGAGGTAAAAAAGCGGAAAAAGGGAGGGAAAAAAGGGAGGGAAAGGACGCGTGGCGGTAAAGGGGAGGGGGTATGAAATCAGAGCAGGAAGGGACGTGGGTCTGAGCACACAAACACGCGGTTCACATAGAGGCACATTGGACGGGACAGACGAAAGGGAGGGGTGAGGGGAAGGGGGGGAAGAGAGAGAAGACAGCAAGGGCAGCAATGGAGGCAAGCAGGGGGCAAAAAACGTTGCCAGCTCGAACGCTCATTAGCTGAGTGTAAGAGTGCGAAACAGAGAGCAAGGACAGGAGAGAGGAGGGGGGAGGCTAAGGGATAGAATACAAGGCAGCAAAGGTCATTCGTTACTCTATGGAGTACACGGGATATGCTACTCCAAACACACATGAAACACCACAGTACCAACCAAGTCGTGGTAATGTATCTCAGACAAAGGCGGGACAACCGCGAGAGAAACAGTCTTATCGTTACTGTCAGTGGGAATGCATGATGCATGATGCAGGTCCCATCACTACATCAAATGTATCTCAGACGATGCACGTGCTGACCTCCCCACCTTGCATCCAACCAAACCACCACCACCTCACCCTCTCCGCCACCTCGTGGCCCCACACCCAATTCTCCCCACACTTCTCCCCATCCAGCTGAATCTTGTAGGCGAGTGGGGATGAGACGCACCGAGAGCCATGGCAGGCTGGAGTGCCGATGTGGAAATTGGAGAGCAGGCGGGGTGCAGTGCAGTGCAGGAGCTGGTGGGTCACTACCGTGTGCGTGAACTTGATCATGTTGGACACACGACGCGGAAAAATCTGCCGAAGCATCCCAGTTGAATTGGCCTCCCAGCATCCCAGCAGTCCCGGATGGCTTGGCCTGAATGGATTGATGCACGTGCGAGTCGATACAGCGGCCCAGTTGGTAGGGGGGGAAGGAGGGGGGAAAGAAGGAAGAAGGGGGGAGATAAAAAAGGTGAGAACGAGTGAGTGGGAGGCAAATAAGGAGTGTTGAAGGTCGCAAGGGAGATAAGTCGTGGCATGTGCGAGTTGATGTGACTGCTTGTTGAGCTGGGTTGGAAGGGATAGGAGTTGAGAACTTGAGTCACAAAGAGTTAATGGTGAGAAGAGGGGGGTGGACAGCTGGTAGGGAAGGGCGAGTCTGTCCTTTAACGCTCCCTCACATGAATACCTTTGACTTGACGTGTGTTTCAACAATGACTCGTATGAAGGCTAGCACACCTCACTCACCACCACTGCCGCTTAACACCACCCCTTTACACCCACCATCAACCCCCATGCACATTCACCTGACGGTCCTTCTCTGCTGCAGCAACAAAGAGAGAGCAGAATCTAACAGAAAGGATCGTTCGAGAGCAGAGCTGTGATGCTCTTGACACTCGTGGCAAGGCAGAAGGGCGCTGGCTGTCGATCTTGGACTGCTTGGAGCTGATTCAGGTGCACGTGATGAGAGGGGAAGGGGAGGGCAAGGGCAGAGAATGGGTAGGGAATGAGTAGGGAATGGGCAGGAAATGGGCAAGGAATGGAAAGGGAGTGGGCAGGAAATGGGCAGGGGATGGGCAGGGGATGGGCAGGAAATGGGCAGGGGATGGGCAGAGGATGGGCAGGGTATGGGCAGGGAATAGGGATGTAAATGGGAGGGGAGGGAGAGGGGAAGGGGAAGGGAGGAGGAGGGAAAGGGGGTGAAGGGGAGGGGAGGGGGGGAAGATGGGAGGGAAAGAGGAGGGAAAAGGGACCAAACGATGAGGGGAGGGGGTTGTTGCTTGGTATATGAAATGAATAGAAGGTACCTCGCAGTCAACCGTGCACTCATGGCATATGGCCACACCGCCATGCACAAACCATGCACATGCACGCATCCACCCACCCATCCACCCACCCACCCTGCTCACCATGCATCGGGGTGCATATCTCGTTCCCCATAATCCTCAAAACGATGCTCTTGGTGTCGCTTGCCGCCTCTGCTGCCTCCTTGGCTCACCTCAGCTGCTCTTCCTGCCTCGGCGACTCCTCCTGGTTGTGCTGTGTGCCCACAAGCACACTGTCAGCGCCAACGTGTATGAGGTGTTTAAGAGAGGGGGGGGGGAGGGTTGGAACTAGGAAGGACGCGCGGGGGAAGGGAAGGGGTATGAAAGCAGGGCAGCAAGGGACGCAGGCACGAGCACACAAACATACTGTCTGCACCGAACGCTTTTAGCTGAGTGCAAGAGGGATGGGAGAGGGGGGAGTTAAGAACGCAAGGGCCAGCAATGGAGGCAGGCATGGAGGGTTGTCAACCCCCCCCCTGCACGCGCCCACACCACACTCCCCCCTTGCCCCTCCCCCTCCCTCGCCCGCCCCCTCATAGCGCCCACACTGCCACCCTTGTCGCTACGACAATATCTGATGCTCGCGGCTCGGGTGATGCGCATCACTGACCAGCCCGACCAGGCCGGAGTTAGGTTCGGATCGGCCCGGCGTCGGAAACCAGGGTGGTGCCAGGGTGGCTCAACTCAACGCCGTGACGGAGTGCCAGGGTGGTGGGCCAGCCCACGCTGTGACTTGGGCAATGCCCAGCCCGGAGTGCCGGGCCGGGTCGGGCCTATGCGGCCCGACAGTTCAGATCAGAATGACCAGCCCAGCCCGGTTTACGCTCATGCCTAGGATGTATCGTTCATACATACCCCACGCAGTGCAGGTGCATAGCTCCCCGTCTCGCTTCGTGTGACTCCTCTCCATTCTCCGCCACCTCCTGTTCTACCCACGCCCGTTTCTCCCTGTCCAGCTGAAACTCGGTGGGGTTAGGGGATGTTGGTGGGAGAGTTGAAGCAAGGGAAGATGGAAGGAGAAGCAACTCGGTGTGAGGGGAGAGAGTCTGGGAGAACGGGGAGAAGGTTGATGGGTGAAGGGAAGAAAAAGACGAGGGTTGAGGGTGAGAAACAGGAAGCGGATGAAGGGAGGAAGGGGGTAGGGAAAGCTAGGAGACGGGGACAAGGTGGGATGGGGTAGTGGAGGGGGGCAGGTAAAATCGTTTTTGATATCTCATAGGATAACAGGCGTTGGAGAGAAGCAGATCGGACGGTAGAGGCGCGAGCCGAAATGAGTAGACAGGCAGAGCGCTACAGCAAGGGTGAACGAGAGGAGCAGAGCTTACAGGAAGAGAAGAGAGACTGGTGCCTAGGCACTTCTTACCAGACAGATCGGCAGGGCATCACAGCAGGGGACGAAAAGGGGAGAGGGCGAGGATGGAGCGATGCTTCAAGAGGGAAGGGATACTTAAAAAAAAAAAAAAAAAAAATCAGAGGTATAAAGAATTCTGAAGTAGATCGATAGAGTTGCGGGCTTGACGGGGCGAGAAGCAAGCAGGGGAGGAAAGGTCATGAATGAGAGGGCAGGAGGGAGGCATCATGTAACATCAGGCATGCCACGCAATGGGTTCGCCTCGCGATCCCGTCCGTTCACTCATCTCACCGTTTGCTTCTCTCAGGTCTCACCATCCAAGTCCCTAGCCAATCCCCGTTCTCACGCATCACTGTCGCACGTCCGCTTCCATCTCGCGCGCGATACTGATGGCTAGCGAAAGCGGATGGACACAACCGTGCTTGCTTGCGCTCATCTAGCTTGTAGCGACTTGTGAGAAACCGTTTGCTGAAGAGCCGTCAGCTGCTACTGTCAGGTGAAATAGCTGCCAAGACGATAACGTTGGTAATGCGCGAGCATTCGTTCCACCTGCTGCCAAGACGCAAAGCGCGTCCGTCCATCGAACACCGCTGTTTAGATGTCATTATTTCTTCGACCGCGACGACTGGATTTGCGGGTGCCACGCGATGGACGGTGGAATCTCTTGCATCGCAGAGCAAGGTCTCGTCGTGATGACTACGTATCACGCAACCTACCGATAGTTATCAATGTTCGAAGGGGCGACATCATTGATGTAATTGAAATACTAAGGACGAACTGGTGGCGTAGCTACTAGTACTAGGGCGTGGGTGATCAAGGTATAGCGATGGAGCTGAGAAATGTGCTTTCATGTGAACCCGAACCAAGAAACTTTGAGGGCTTATAAAAAAACCGGATTCACGAATTTGCCCCAAATGGTGCGCGTCATTGCAACCGTCCAAAAACCTCGAATAAGAGGGTTCAGATTTATGTCAGCGCGTTGCTGTGCAGTCGAGAGGTTTCAAACGGTTGTGTGCAAGTCATTCTGCGCTGTAACAGCACGTTACCGATTGCAAGGAATTAGTAAGAACACACCCCTGACGAAATGTCCAGCCCTACTGACGCAACCCTAATGACTCGGTGTGCTCGATATTCACGCCACCAAATCAAAATGCCTTTATAACGAGGACGTAGGAAGGCTAGAGACTTTGGAAACGTCGCATGGTCGATTTCTGGAGTGCATTGGAGGCGACGGATACGTCAAGGGTCACGATCGCTCCCCTCGTGTTTCCCGACAATGACAGCCCGCAAGCACTGCATGTGGCACCGTCGCCGTGCCACGTCATTGACACCGTCACGTCACGCCACGGCGAGCGTGACGCTGGTGGGGATGCGTTCACCCATGGTTCGTATGAGGCGCGAATAGCATTATGTTGCTTTCACTGCGTGGACAGCATCCACCCCGTCGAAACATAGTACCCGCGATGGAGTACTGTGCGCGGCTCGTCGATGCGATGGGTTGGGCTTCGAACGACGAGGGACTGGCGAAATGGGATCGAGAGAGACGAACGGTGCAATGAATTTGTAACCCGTGATCGAGAGAGGGTGGGATGGGTGTGCGAGGCGAGTGGATGACGGGTGGCGTAGCGCGTGCTGAATAGCTCGTCCGACAGAGTTCCGGCGGACCCCTTTGCCCGGGCCGACGGACGAGGTCGACGGGCCCAAAACGCCGAGGCGGAGCACTGACGCGCGTGCGGGGCCCGCCAGCCTGGAGGGGGCGGGACTCGGCGCACGTCCGCCGCCCCGCAACCCCCCTGCGTAATTGAGCAACACCCCACGTTACCGAGTGGGGGCGGCGAGCTGGCGACACCTGGCGCGAGGGAAAGTAACCCTAGGGCGAAGGCAGCCCTCGCCGTGGCCCTGCCCGCGACGACCTAGTAACCCTCTCGCGCTGCCCCTACGGGCAGGCGAGGGCCCGGCGAAATCCTGGTGGTCCCCTCGGGACCCTCGGCGACTTCGCGACCCGCTGGCGTGAGGACACGTGTCCGCCCAGGGACGAGCTGCATGCCAGGCCCGTGTGACGCTGCATGCCACCAGACCCCACGCCGACCGAAGCGAGGCACGTGACGGAGCCGATGTGGCTCGGCGTCCGACGAGCATGCGATTGGACCAGGTGCTGCTCGTCGTTCCGAACCACATCGGCCTCAGGCCCGGTTGTGGGCACCGCCTTGGCCTGCGTCCGTCGTGCCTTATCTTTGCGGACGGTGTCACCGACGCCTCATTCTGCTCTTCCCATTTCGCATTTCACCTTTTTTACCTCCGCGCCTTCCTCTGTCCCGCTGCTGCTAGCCTGCCTGTAGTGTCGTGCCTTAGCAATCATGGTGTTAGATAGTGGCGCCGCTCAACGGGCGCCGGGCGCCGCTAACCCGACGCCGTCCTCGGAGGACTTCCCCTTGTACTTCAACATGGGCCGCGGGCTCACCTTCACGTTTCACGAGAGGGACTTCGCCGTGCTGCGTGGGACGAAGAAAGACTTCAACGAGCTCTGCTTCGCACTCGCGCTCAAGTGAGTCTCTCGTTCAGTAAACGCGGCGTCCTTAGTAACTGCTGCTAGTTTGGATTCCGCCGAGTTAGACGACGTTCTTATTTCAAGCGCGTTACGATGTCGGTGTGTGAGGCAGCGACGGCGTCCTTTGTCCATTATTGTTTCCGCCGATTTAATGTCTACTGCTCGTTAGGATTCCGCCGACTTAGACGACGTTAATCGTTGAAGCGCGTTACGACTTCGGCGTGCGATCGCCGCGCATCCATATTTCACATAGTCCGTCGATGTCGGCCTTGCGTCCGTGTTCGGAAAGCCCGTGTAGTTAACACCGACGTGGATGGCAGTCGGCGTGTTACATAGGTTGTTACCGACTGTTCTGTTTGCCTTTCGCTGGGTTGGCGTCGTCGCCTTACGGAGAGATAGGTCGACGGAGTCGGTTTGCGAGTTCTCCTCACGGTTTGCCGCCGGTGAAACGGCCTAGTTTTTGCTCCGTGTACGAGACGTAGGCTTGTTTCTCGGCGCTATCATGCAGAGAGGTACTTTGTGAGCGCGTCCACGTCGGCGTGTAAGGCGCGACACCAGTATATTGAACCACTGCTCACACGTCCCCACCGCCCTTCGGTCCTTGTAGGTACATGTGGCTTCAAGAGGCACCGCTGGAATTGAAGCCGTGGATCATAGGGTGCTGCCGTCTTCGCGAGGCGATTAAGAAGACCGACCTCACCTGTTTTGAGTCGGTGTTCGATGCCAACATTGCCGTGCTGCCTCTCATCACGACGTGAGAAATACCGTCGTTTCGTTGGCGTTGACTTCATGTTTGACTTCGGTGTTTGAAACCGGCGTTAAACGGTTCTCGTGCAGGATCGGGCCGCTTCCCGGTGTCCACTGCAGCGTCGTCGTCGTTCTGCAGCCCGGCGACTTGCTGGCGGCCGCCGGCGTCGAGTGCAGGACCTCGTTCCGCCACCTCGACCCGAAGACTGCAAACCGCCTGCATTAGTCTGAGGCGCTCGCCGTTTTGAGGTAGGCATGTCAATATTGATAGGGGTTGTGTACGGCGTTAAGTAGTTTCGTCGGCGTGCACACTCACTCTTCAATGCCATGCCGTTGCAGTTTTTTTCGCCGGTGTGTTCTGGCCGAGCTGGGACGACGTGACAGGACCTGGAAGTGGGCGCCTCCCTCTGCCGAGGTCGTGTAGGGACGACTCGCCGCTTGCGATGGGCCCATGCGCGACGTGAGTTTCTGTCGACCGAACTATTAGCCGCCTTGAATTGGTCGTTTTACTGTGTTCCCCTTGGCACACACTGGTCTCACCTCGCTTGCCCTTGCAACGGTTGTGCGCAGAGATTGCCGGACATCATAAAAATCGAGCAAGTCGGCGCCGGCTTGCATGCTGTGAGCGTGTTCGGATGGGTGGTCAGAGAGCGTGCAACCCTGCTCGAGTCACGTGCACCGGCGACCGCTGAAAACCCCATGATGCAGGGGTTGAAGTCACTCAAATCGGCGCTAGTGGAGTACGTCAAGAGCTGCGTCGCTGAGAGGCGGTCGGCGCCGGCCAATCACCCTACTGGGCCAAGTAACTCCCCCCTGGACGACGACGGGATCGAAACAAAGGCGGCGTTTCAAGCTGGCGTGAGTCGCCCGGCGGATTTCGGCACGCACGACACTAGAACTAGCGGGCATGTTGGCGGTGGCGAGGCCGACTTGGTAGGAGGAGAGGAGCGGAGGGCAGGGTCCGATGAGGAGTCGGTGGAGGTGTCAGAGTCAGAGTCAGAGTCGGGATCCGAGGAGGAGGAGGAGGAGGAGGAGGAGGAGGAGGAGGAGGAGGAGGAGGAGGAGGAGGCAGGGAAGAAGGCTTTCAGCGCTGAGGCGGACACCGACGCCGGTGTGCAGGGAGCGGACGTGCAGGACCGTGGCGGACATGTGGAGGTTGACGTGACGAATGTCGCCGAACGGGGTGCTGGTCGTGACCCGAAGTTGACCGGCGGGACCGGCATAAATGCCGCGTCGGCCGGCAAAGGAGGGGGGGACCAGTCTCGTATGAAGGCGCAGGCGCATGGTCATCCGGCATCGACCAACCCTTCTAAGTCGGCGTCGGCAGCCGCCCTCGCTCACGTGAAGCGGCTGGAGGCGGAGAACAAGAGACTCAGAGACGAGAATGCAGGGTTGCGGTCGGCGCTGGATGCCGAGAGGGGTCGGACGGAGGGGTTGTTGGCAACGGCGGCTGGATGCCTCGAGGGTGTCAAGTCGCTGACCGAACGCGTCGCCGCCGCGGAGCAGACTGCGGGGACACACGTCTCTAAAGCGACAGCAGCCATGAGCGGCGTTTTCGCCAAGGTCCTGGACGATCGGGTGGCTTTGGTCAACGCGTGCAGCAGCATGGCGACGCCGTTGTTGGGGGAAATTTCTAAGGGATTGGACAGGCTCAAAGTCGACCGCCTTGACGCCGACCTGCGGTTGGGGAACCACGTGACCAGCGTGGGGGAGAACGTGAAGACCGTGTTGGCCGATTACATCCAGGCCCAGCTGGCCTCGACTTCCACCAATATCGTCGGCGGCCTATCCCGCAGCATCCCGCCCCCACCTCCCGGTCCATCCCCCGCGCTGCCAGCCGAAGTCATCAAGACAATAAGGGATGACTTGGTTCAGGCGGTGACCGCTATCACGCAGCAGGCACTGGGTACCGTCGGCTACACGCTCCTGCCCAACGTGCTCGCTACAATGAGGCATGGGCGGCGTGGTTCGTCTCCGTCGGCCGGGGACGTTGACAGCGTGCAAAGGCAGAGGCCGGAGAAGAGGGCTGGCAGCGGAGTAGCGGCCGACGGCGACGACGCCGGCAATTCAAAGCGGAGTAAAGGTGTCGGTGGTAACCGCACAGTCGGCGGCGACGTCCCAGCTCCAGATCGGTCACGGTCTCGTTCACCGAGAGTGGACACGATGCTGAAGGAAAAAGGGGGGGCGACCGTCCGACTACTCGGCCCGCAGAGTAGAGGCGGCGCTGACGGAAGCGCGGAAGGTAGGACTGCCGCCGCGGAGAGGGTGCAGACGGGCGGCTCCTCATCTCACGCCGCTGGACAGAAAGGTCCAGAGGTACCCCGTCCTCGTGCTCCCGAGGTTGCACCACTGCAGGCCGGCGTCGGCGGTAATCTGGAAGCTGCTGGGGTGCAGGCCGACGCGGTGCTACCCACCTCCCACCCGGCGATCGAAGCAAGTGCCAACAACGACGGCGTCACTGTTGCTATTGGGGTGCAGGCCGACGCCGTGCTCCACACCACACACCCGGCGCCGTCGAGCCACTTGCAGGCACAGGCTGGGGAGGTTCCCGCTCCTTCTGTCGGCGGGGATGGGGGCACAGGCGATCCCGGCGCGGTGCTTGAGGACCCCCTGTCAAGAGTGCTGAAGGAGCAGCTTCGCGCACTTCAGGCGCCCTTGCACCCGCCATACGTCGCGGTTCCCGACGACGGTGTCCCAACACCTCGCGTGGGTCCGCATCCCGTCGCCGGCCCCTCGACAATTGCACCCTCCACGGAGCATCCAGTCGGCGGTCCCGCACCATCGGACCCGGTCGCGGCCATGCTGCTGGCCGAGATCAACGCGCGTCAGGCGGCAGCACCATCCCCTCACTCGACGGCAACCGGTCCCAGTGCGCCGACCACGCAGCACACCGTCGGCGGTCCCGCCCCATCGGACCCCGTCTCTGCCATGCTGCTGGCCGAGATGAACACGCGTCAGGCGGCAGCACCATCCCCTCACCCGCCGCCAACCGGTCCCAGCGCTGCGCCGACCACGCAGCACCCCGTCGGCGGTGCACCCTGTCGGCGGTCCCGCCCCATCGGGCCCGGTCTCGGCCATGCTGCTGGCCGAGATGAACGCACGTCAGGCGGCAGCACCATCCCCTCACCCGCCGCCAACCGGTCCCAGCGCTGCGCCGACCACGCAGCACCCCGTCGGCGGTGCACCCTGTCGGCGGTCCCGCCCCATCGGGCCCGGTCTCGGCCATGCTGCTGGCCGAGATGAACGCACGTCAGGCGGCAGCACCATCCCCTCACCCGCCGCCAACCGGTCCCAGCGCTGCGCCGACCACGCAGCACCCCGTCGGCGGTCCCGCCCCATCGGACCCGGTCTCGGCCATGCTGCTGGCCGAGATGAACGCGCGTCAGGCGGCAGCACCATCCCCTCACCCGCCGCCAACCGGTCCCAGCGCTGCGCCGACCACGGTGAAATTGGGCGAGGCCGTACAGCAAGGAGCGGCGGACGAGACGGAACAGGCGGTTCCACCGCATGACCAGGTCGGCGCGGCGTCTGAGATAAACGCAGCTGGTGCGGAGGCCGGGGCCGGTGGCCTAGGGGAGATGCCGATTGACCCGATTTTCAACACCATTATCATCGCGGACGACGATGTCATCGCGGACGATGAAGTGGAATTGATTAGAGGGTTGATAGACGCAGACGCACTGGCCGAACAGCAGGCTGGGGCAGCCATGTCGGCCGACGTTGCTGAGGTGGATCGACGGGCAGGCACGGCCGTCGGAGAGGTCGACCGGCGTCACCGCTGTTGGTCAGGCTGGTTCGTCTCTATCGTCCCTCTATCCAGCCGGCTTCATACCGGTCGATCCCACCTTCCAGACCGGGCCGCCGCCGGACCGATCGGCAGGCGTCATGGCGGGCCAGGCAGGCGTTTCGGTGGCAGGCCAGGCCGGCCAGACAGTACCTACGGGCCGGTCGGCAGGCGCCACAGTGGCAGACCGGGCGGGTACTACCGGACCGTCACGCCACCCTGCTGTCGTTTCAGTGGCTGGACATGCCGAGCAGGAAGGACAAGCCGACCGTACGGAGGCTGTCGCCGAACAAAAGAGGAAGCGGAAGGGTAAAGCCGCCGCATCGAAGAAGCATGTCGCGGCGAAAGATCGCAGGGGGCATGGTATCCGGGTGGACCGGACGAGCGGTGGCGGGTGGCAGGGCGAGATCAACGTGGCTGGAAAATCGCGCTACACGGGTCGGTCAGACGACAGGATGGAGGTGGCTTACCTCAATGCCCTTGCGATGTCCATCTTCGACGGTTACATCAGCCCAGTCGTGTTGGGCGAGATGACCAGCGTTAAAGAGGACGACATGACCAGCTGGAAGTCGGAGTGGGAAGCGGCGAAGGTGATACCGAAGGGGATGTGGACGGTGATGTGGGCCCGCGGCGCCGTCATGTTTCGTCCACGGTAAGACTGCGGGGACTAGTTGTATGCTTAGCGGCGTGATAGAGGGCGGCTGACATCTGGTTTCTGCGCCGACTTAACACCCTTGTGTTCCCTTGTCGTGCGTGGCAGGTTCCAGACTGTCCTCGCCGACTTCAAACAGAAGACGACCTCAGGCCCCTGGCTGGTGAAAATGCTGAGGCCGGCTGTGTGGTTCGGCGATGATTCGGACCCGGCCAAGCGTAAGCAGCAGTTCAGCGACATCATCAACCGCGTTTCGATGTGCGCGGCGTTTGGCCCAGTAGCAGCCACTGCCTTGCCGAGATCTGAGCTGGAAGCTGCTCGGCTGGCCGAGGCTGTCGCTGCTTCATCTTGCGCCGTGTGGTGCTTCGCCGAGACCGAGGCCACGGTCAGCCAAGCGGCGGGTGAAGGGAAGGCGGCGGCACTGGTTTGTCGTGCGAGCACCGACTTTGCCGACCTCTGTCACAGCGTCGTGGTGGCGGTGATGGAAACGGAGATTTCGAGGCAGGCCGCCCCGGACGAGGTTCCGTGCGACGTGACAGACAGATTGCAGAGTGCTGCCCTTCGGAAGGTCTACCGGGACGACAACCCCAAGCCCGAAGCCGTTCTGATCGCTAGGACGACCATCGAGACCCTCGCCTTTTGGGGGTCGTGCAACGCCGGCGGCCCCCTTCTCCGACGACGCGGCATCGATGTGCCGGTGGACAAGAAGATGTCGCACGATATGGAGCTCAGGGGTAAGAAGGGACAGAAGGGACAGAAGGCGAAGCACGCCGCGGTCGCGTGATCTGTTACATGCGGCCGGCTGCCTCTGCTTCCAGCCGGTGCTGTGAGTGGTTGGCGTGTGGTGGAACTCATGGAATGTGTTTCGTCGGCGGTTTTCGAGGGTCTTTGCTAGTGCTTTGCTCTTGTTTTGCACAGACGCCGCAACTGGTGGCAGGATTTTGGCTGGATAGTGGGGCGGTCGGGGGATTTGTTGTGGCGCCGACTTTCATTGTGCAATTTTGCTGTGATCCTATGGTGTTTTTTCTTTGTTAAACCTAAGACGCCGATATGTGTTCTTGTTTCTTTTGAAATGTTCCTAGCCGGCATGACAAACAGAGAATGCGCAATCAACAAAGATGCGAACAGAAGTCACATTTAGACAAATTATCGTCGCTAAGCGACGGCGAACCCCCCGTAACATCACTCCTTTTTCCTACGCTTGCACGTCTTCGTCGGAGAGCGACGACAAGCATTACGATGTCGGCGTCGCTTTACTCACATCCTCCAACTGATCCTCCACGTCGGGAAAGATGTGCGCGGCGATCGTCTTTTCGAGGTCTGGGCCGGGATTCAACATGCTGCGCCCCAAGAAGTAGTCGCTTTTGGCTCCCGAGTAGCCGGCCTTCCTTATCACCACCCCGACGGGGAGGGACGTGATGTAACTCCTCGTCATCTTGCCTATCGCCCAGTGACCCAGTTCGGCGATCTCGGCGCACGGAGTACCTTGGTCCGCCAGCTCCTGTGCCCCGCCGGCCCTAGCGGCGTGCACGTTGCGCTTGATGAAAACCTTGTTCGCCGTCCACAGCTGCCGCGTGATTCGTTGCTGGCTCGACGACGGCAGCATGCCTTGCTCTTTGTCGGTCTTGGAGAAGAAGAGATGCTTGTCGTACCAGAGTTCTGGTCGGCGTACGTCAAGCGGCGGGATCAGGCGGACGCCGTAGATCTGGGGGATCTGGTCGTAGATGAAGTGTAGCCAGAGGAGGGTATCACCGACAGCACACACTTCAGCCTCCAAGTGCCTCGCCGCGTAGTTGTGATGAAGACGGGCATCCTTGCACGTCTTGGAGTTCCGCACCGCGATCACCATGACCATTGGCTGGTTGTTCGGGTTTGTCGCCGACCCGCTAGACAGTCGGTACAGAAAGAGGTCGGCGAGCGTGATCTCGCGTACACTGGCACCCCGGAGCAGAGTGTGGTGCGATAGCAAGGTCATCGATCTCATCAGCATGAACTTCCACAGAGTCTGCGAAGGACCTGTTCCTCGCGGATTCCACGCCGACGCCGACAAGTGCGGCAACACTTTGAACATGATTTTGCGGAATTTCTCGGGGGTGTAGGTGTCGCCGATGGTTCCGCGATGTCGGTCGACGTATTTTCTGCAAACGAGTGGGTGAGGGGGAAGGTTGAGTGTGAGCGGCGTCGTTGGGACAGGGCGGGGATCTAATAGGGACATGCAAAGTCGGCGCTGTCTAGCTTACTTGTTGTCAGCCTTGTTCTTTGTGCGAACCATGATACACACTTCCGTGCGGATGACCGAGATGTCCTGCATGATATGCATCTCCTTCTCCTTGTAGAGGGTCGCCTCTATCTTGGCCGCCATCTGACAGGCTTTGATGCGGCCGAGGAGCATGTTGACCGTGCAAGGTTTGATCGGCTGCGTGCGCATGGCGGGGTTGCCCTTTTCGCTCCGCATCGCCTCGGTCAAAGTCTCACGCGATCTGAACAAGACATAAGCGCGTAGTCGTGGCGTCTTTGTCCGCGGGCCGTGCAAAAATATAAACTGGCGTGGGGCCGTGTGCCAGTCGGCGCCCAAGTCATCGCCGATGTGCTTCCCGATTTCGTCTTTGTCTTTGAGCGCAGACCCCGGCTCCAGGTTGTCGCCGCTTTCTGGTAGATTGTCCACCGCCCACCTCTTGTAGTCAAGTGCCCACGATATGTACTGCTTCACCGTTGACCCTTCCTCGAGCGACTCAAGGTGGCGTAGAGCATTGGCTATCAGTACTTCAATGTCGTTGTTCCTTAGATCCTCAACGACGAACTCTGCCGCCGTAAACTCCGCTCGTGGCACGCTTGCGTTGAGCGCATTGATAGAATTGGAACTGAACTGATTGACTGATAAGGAAGGCACTAGGCCTTAAGTACAAACACGGTTGGGTTGAGAAAAGCTAGGGAAAGGATGGGATGGGAATCCTAGCAAATCTCCAATTGGTGAGTTGGCAGATTTGCAGGATTACGAGGGAATCCCAACCAGATAGGGTTGGGATTACAAATCTACACCCAACCTACAAAATAACCTAATCGATATAGAATATAGTACAAAGTGTTGACTGACTATTTCTAACACACCCCCTAGGCTGACAACACTTCAGCCACATGGCGGTCCAACACCCATGGACGAGAGGAGGCGGTAGTGGTCTTGGCGAACAAGAGACTTGGTAAACAAGTCAGCAAGGTTGCAGTCGGAGGCAATGTGTTCAGCCTTCAGCTGCTCGCGCTGCACCAGCTCACGAAGAAAGTAGTGACGGACTTCAATGTGCTTGGTGCGGCCGTGGAAGACGGGGTCCTTGGTGAGATGAATGGTGCTCTCGTTGTCACACCAAAGCGTTGGGGCTGGTTGAGGATACCCAAGTTCTGCCTGCAAGAAGGAGAGCCAACGGGCCTCCTGGGCAGCCATGGTCCCGGCATACAGCTCTGCCTCACAGGTCGACAGTGAGACGGAAGACGACCGAGTGGAGCGCCAACTGACAACCCCACTGCCAAGGGTAAAGCAATACCCTTGGGAAGAGCGCCGATCACTCTGGTCATCGGCATAGGACGAGTCACTGTACCCCTCAAGGCGAACAGGGGAAGAGCCGCCAAGAGTGAGCACATAGTCCTGTGTGCCTTTGAGATAGCGGAGGACCCGCTTGGCGGCAGACCAGTGGTGGCTCGTGAAGCGACCAGGTGCAACGTAGCGAGACAGGACACTGACTGGATAGGCCAAGTCTGGTCGAGTGCACATCATCGCGTACATGAGGGAACCAACGAGCTCGGGGTAAGCCTCATCACAGGGCTCATGTGAGGGAACAGAGGGTGTAGTGAGTTGGTGCTGCAGTGAGAGTGGGGTGGACATTGAAGCTGCGTCCTGCATCTTGAACCTGGTCAGAACGTTGTTGATGTAGAACTTCTGCGAGAGGGTGATGGTGCGGGCCGTGCGATCACGTGTGATTTCTATGCCCAGATAGTTCGTCAGCTTCCCAAGATCCTTCATGGCCAGCTTCTCACCAAGTGCGGTTTTGACTGCTGCCAGCTCAGTCTGATCCTTGGTGACAAGGATCATGTCATCGACATAAACCAAGATGAAGAAGCGGGATGGTGTTGCTCGGATGAAGAGGCTGGGGTCAGAGGTGGATGGGTGAAAGTCGAGGGACCCTAAGGTGCTCTTGAGCTTGTTGTGCCATTCCCGGGGTGCTTGCTTGAGGCCATAGACTGGTCGATTCAGCTTCCATACAGTGTCTGGTGGAAAAGGAGCTGGAAATCCTTCGGGCCGCTCCATGTAGATTTCCTCTCGAAGGATCCCTTGCAGAAACGCAGAAGACACATCCATGCAGTCAACCTCCATGTCATCTCGAGCGGCAACATCGAGAAGGGTGCGCAGTGTGGGAGGTTTGGCGGTGGGCGAGAATGTTTCAAAGAAGTCCAGTCCATGCTTTTGGGTAAATCCCTTGGCACAGTACCGGGCTTTGAAGACAGGAAATTCGCCTGGAAGTTGTTTCACCCGGAAAACCCATTTTCCCTTCACAATGTTGATGCCGGAGGGAGGAGAGACATCTGTGAAAGTTCCTGTGTGAATGAAGGCCTCTCACTCTGCGACAATGACCCCTAGCCACTGAGCGGCGTGAGGACCCGAAACTGCTTCAGCATAGGTGAGAGGTGTGGGGATGGAGGGGTTGTCCGAGAAGTTGAGGGTGGGAGATTCTGCGATATCTGGAAAGAGGGAGCAGAGCGCGTGTATGGCTGAGTCAATGTCAATCAACTCCTCATGTCTGTCCTCAAGAAGGGAGGGCATGAGCGAATAATCACCCCCGACAGGAGGAGGATTGAGAGAGACACGAATGGAAAGGGAAAGAGGCTTGGGAGCTTTGTGCGAGCGGGTGCGACCAGCGATGGGGGAGGGAGGCGGAGCTGGAGGAGGAGAAGCAGGAGGTGTAGTGGCAGCATCAGGAACAGCAGCTGGATCAGGAGCAGGAGCCAGATCAGGAGCAGGAGCTGGATCAGGAGCAGGAGCAGTAGCGGGAGGACGGCGTTGGTAGGTTTTGAGAGGAATGGGCTCGGGGGCGGGGAGGAGCGGGGGAGACTGCGTGGTGCTGGATGGGGAAGCGGGTCACGGGGGGTCGGAAACTATGGAGGGAGCCGGAAGAGGAGGAGAGGGAGTGGTGGCAGGAGGAAGGCTGTCAAAGTCAGCCCAAGTAAGAGAAGGAGGCGGAGGAGAAGGAGAAACCGTGGAGGAGGGGTAGAATGGGTGGGATTCATCGAAGAAAACATCTCGGCTGCGATAGAGTTTGTTGGTGGTAGGATGGAGGAAGAGGTAGTCTGGCGAGTCCGAGTTGTGCCCGAGGTACATGCACGTGATAGTTTTCGGAGCAAGCTTGCCGCCAGCTGCACGACGGGCTTGGGAGTTGAGGAGGACATAGGAAGTGCACCCCCATACACGAAGAGGGCGGACGGACGGTTTTTGACCCGTCCACAGCTCTGCGGGGGTGGTGTGGGTGTGGTGAGGATGAGGATGGAGATTGTGGAGGGCGGCAGCATGGAGCATGGCGTATCCCCAAAGAGAGGGAGGGGCGGAAGCATGAGTGAGGAGGCAGCGAGCAATCTGCACCAGGATGCGGTTTCGACTTTCAGCAACACCGTTCTGTTGAGGGCTGTCTGGGAGAGTGAAGGTCTGACGAATACCCTCAGTAGAGCAGAAAGCTTTGAGAGTGTTGTTGCGGAATTCACCGCCACCGTCAGAGTGAAGGATCTTGATTTTGGTTTTGAAGTGTGAATGAGCCTGCCTGGCCCATTCCATGATGATGGCTGGGGCTTCAGACTTGGCGGTGAGAAGGTGAACGGACACATAGCGGGAATAATCATCAACGATGACAAGGAAGTAGAAGTGTCCGCCACGGGAACGAACAGGAGCTGGACCCCAAAGGTCCATGTGTACGCGATCGAGAGGTGCGGTAGAGATGGACTCAGTGGGAGGATGGGGCTGTTCCCGAAGCTTGCTCTGTGCACAGTCAAGGCAAGGCGGTCCAGAAAGAGAGGGGGGTTGTGGAAGTGAGGCGGGCAGTCCATGAAGGAGTTGCTTGGTGGCAAGGTCTGAAAGTGCGCGGAAGTTGATGTGGCCGAGGCGGTTATGAAAGAGCATAGTCTTGTCAGTGAGGAGGCGGCAGTGACATGAGGGGGAGTCTGAGGATGGAAGCGGAAGGTTGGTGAGGGAGCATGTTTGAACGGGAGGAACAACTAGTGTGTACAGGTTGTTGGAGTTGAGGGTGAAGCGGGCAAGATGGAGTCCGGTTTTGGCGTCAAACATGTCACAGTAGTCAACATCATTGGGAAAGATGGTGATCACGCCTGCGTGTTGGATTTCGCACTGTGCAAGAAGGTTGTAGCGGAGGGTTGGGGCACAGATGCCAGTGACTGTGCCAGATGGGAAAGCTGGACAGGAAACTGTGGAGGAGCCATGGCATTGGATGGAGAAGCTAGAATGCTCCAAGGAGTGAGGTGGGAGCCTGGTAGGGAACGAAGGCGGTTTGGTCTTTAAGCACTGTGTGGGTGGCACCACTGTCTAGTATGAACTCGATTCCCTGTGTGGTTGAAACACCGATGTACTGCGACCCCTTCTCATTAATAAGACCAGCACCAGAGAACAACAGGTTAAGGCGAACATCAGATGGGGCGCTAGCAAATGCCTGAGCAGGTTCCTCCACTGCCTCGACCTGGTTCACGCGACGGGGTGGTGGCCAGTTGGGAGGGCGCTTGTCCTTGGAGACACCATGGACGTCATACCACTCGTCATCTCGCTTCTTGAAGCAAGTTGCCTCAGGTTGGTTGGTGCCGTTGCATTTCTGCCCCGCACGTGGACCCTTCCTAATGAGGTACTGGCATGGGGGAAAGGAGTTGCGCCTCTGGCCCTGCTGGGAACGAAATGGGATGCCAGGGGAGTAGCGCACAGCATTGACGGATGCCTGGGCTGCAAGGTCCTTTTCGGCAGAGAGAAGGGCCGAAGCGACTTTCTCAAAGGTGAGTTCCTTGGTGGGGAGCTGCTTGAGCATGGAACTGGTGACGTTGTAGGCAGGGGTGAGTCCGACGAGAAGCCCAGCAGCAGGTGCCTGTTCGGGGAAGGTAATCCCAATGTCCTTGAGCTCCTCATAGATGTTGCGGATTTCAGAGATGTAGTCTGCCATGCCTGGGCATTCCTCAAGGCGGATTTGAAACATGCGAGGAATGAGGATTGCAACTCCCACGGCAGTTTTGTCATGAAAACGATCCTGGAGGTACTTCCAAATGTCATGCGCAGAGCGGAAGGTGCGGTAGGACTTGACTAACTCAACTGGGGTGGTGGTGATGAAAACCCTATTCACTGCCGCATCCGCCTGCTCCCAGAGACTGAAGTCCGTCTCATACATGGTGGTCTTTGCGTCGAAAGCAAGCTTGGCTGTGGCAGTG